GGTTTCAATTTGAAGATAAATATAATAATTAATCTTTAAGATTATATTTCAAATTTAGAATCATTCAATTGACTAGAAAAAGTAAATCAAATGACTCACTGTTTTTGAATAGGTTTATCATTGAAGCAATTAGTGATTATACAGATACAGTAAGTTAGGTGAAAGTTAAAGGGTTTAAATTCGAAAAGTGGATTATTTAGTTAGTGTTTAGTTTAGATAAAAGCTTTAAATCATTTAAACTATTACTATATATACTTTTCTGGCCTTGATACGATAGCAACACTAATTGAACTCAACTTGATTCCCACCGATTCAGTTAAGGTTTTTTTTTTCTTTCTTCATATCTCTTCCTCTTCTTTTTCTTCTTCTTCTTCTTCTTCTTTCTTTTCAATCTTCCATTTTGTCGATCGCAATTTCTTTGATTTTCTACGAACCCCCCCATTGAGTGTATATGACATCGTTGAATGCCGCCTATCTAACTTGTATTACAAAGGGTCATCTTAATAATATACGTTTCTCAATTCGTCTCTATTAAATTAATTACATTTAAAAAGGAGTCGACGTATAATAACTACGAACAACATTCCAACGATTAGGGGAGATAGACAAATTTTATTTTAACCAGTTAAGAAACTTGTACTAACTAATAATATATATATATATAAGTACTATTATATTTTAATAGAATAATTTATGTGTGATAGATTATAAATTTATATTTAATTTAAATTATACAATTGAATAATTATATAAATTTATAAAAATAATATAAATTGATTTATATTTTATTGTATTAATTATTTTTATTTTATTAATTTTATTATATGAATTATTTGCATTTTAATTATTTGTATATTTATTTAAATTATTTGTATTTGAATTATTTTATATTTTATTTTATTTTATTATATTAATTTAATTTAATTATATTAATAAAAATTAAAGTTAATTTTTTTATTTTGCTAAATTCTATTAAATATATTATAACATTAACAATATAACATAATAATATAAATATATATATATGGTAGTATATGTATATATATATATATGAATTAAATGGTATTGAAAATGTTATTTCAAATTTTGTGTTATTACTATTATTCAAATTATTAATAACTTTTGCAATTATTATTATTATTATATGATCAATATTCGAATTGATTTTTATTTCTATTTCTTTTTTGTTATATTTTAAGTTGTAACAAAAGATCAGCATTTTAAAATAAAATGTCGTAGTAGAAATCGTTTGTTAGAAAGTCAATGTACTTACGTAAGAAAAAGGAAATTTCTTGGAAAAGAAGAAGGATAGGCAATATCCTTAATGGTCCTTGGAAATTCTCCTAGGAAGGAAGATTTTTATCTCCCCTTTTCTTTCATTCTTTCTTTCTTTCTTTCTTTTTCTGTGTGTGGGTGTGTGTTTTTTTTTTATACGATCTTCCTTCAGTTTCCAGAAAAGTTCTATTTATTTTTCACGATAGTCTTGAGAATGAATGCGTAGGTGGTAATGACGTCCTTCGAGAATTTCTCCTTGGGATGTCCTTTGAAAGGAATATTGCTTGTTCATTAGTATGGTATTACATTTACCATGAAAAGGGGTTGAATCTTTCAAACAAAATTTTTCAATTTCTTTTTTTACTTTTTCTTTTTTCTTTTATATTGGAAAATTAACATCATTTGCTGAGATTTGTTTTCCAAAGTTTTCCAAGTTTTCCAAACAAGTTTTCCAATAATAAATAATTATTATTACATACGTATTATATACATAATTATGTACGTAATAATATAATTATTATTAATATATAATATAATTATTAATAAAATATAAATATAATTAATAATAAAATATAAATAGAAATAGAAATATATTAATATAAATATAAATATAAATATATTAATATAAATATAAATATAAATATCAATATATTAATATAAATATAAATATAATTATTAATAATAATATAATTATTTTGAAACAATAATTTATTCTATAATATATATTTATTATATAACAATTTTTAATAAATATTAATATTACAATTTTTAATTAGAAATATTTATAAAATTTAATATATATATATATATATATATAATGAACAAATTCTTGGATATAATATCAACAAATACGTTTATATTTCAATGATAAAAAAAAAATAAAAAGAAAATAAAAATGAAGAAAAATAATAAGAAAAACTGGATTCTCTAGTTTTTGTATAAATTGATCTAGGAAATAATGACGATTCGATGGAATGTATTACGTGTTATAGAAAGGAAATGGTCGACCATTTTCAATCATGGTAAATGGCAATATCATTATGTCACTCGAAATAGACGATCATCATCATCATCATCATAATCATCATCATCATCAATTCTTTTCATTTTAATGGAATTTCATTGCTATCACATACAATTCTATAAAATAAAAATTATTTTGTCCAAAAAAAAAAAAAAGTGAAACAAAATATTATTTGGTAATATATACAATGATGGTATTAATGTTCGTGAATGTTCTTATTAATAATAATAATGTATTTTTCGTGATAAGGTGTTAATCAATTTTGTAGTAATGAAAGACATGACCACGAATGATATTATTTTCCTTTTTGTGGTTTTTCAATCTACCATATCCTTCTCTATTTTTTTTTTTCTTGTTCTTTTTCTTTTTTGTAGATCATTTTACGATGACGCATAGGTAAACCGAGTAAAGTGCATAAGAGAGTGAGAGGAGGAGGGGGG